TTCGTTTCACGTTTGTGAATTCTTGTTCTGGCTGTGCGAGTGCTTCAATTCGAACATAATAAATTAATTTATCATCAGAAAAGAATCTCTGTAAGCAAGCAGTAAAAGTTTCACCCTTATGGTCACATAGACACACACACACACTCGTGTGTGTAGGTTGTCCGTTATATACGAGTATCAGGCACACACACTTGAATTGCTCGCTCTGAGCGGGTAAATGTCGCCCACCTCCCACATCCCACCTCCCACTGCCACTTTCCCACCAGAAACCCCAAATCTTACTACTTCCTCGTACCCTTGAGCAGGCCCCATCACAGTCTAGTCTCCATATTAGCCACAGCCAGAGTTTGGGCATCTGAAATTTGGCTCCCTTTAACATGGCAAATGGATGCCTCTGAAGAACCGTTATTAATTGCCCACTGTTGAATGGAAAACCATTAACTTGGGCTTACTTAGCCGTTAACTTGACTACTTGAGTATATCCCCAAAACTCTCAAATTATTACATTTTCTTTATTACCTTCTAACTCAAATTTCTTGTACTATAAACAAACAAAAAACACCGAATCAATTATTTTATATTTGGTCCAGTTGAAATATGTTTTTGTTATTGTTTTCTGTTGATTAGATCAATCTCGGCAATGTTTTACAAATGTATATATATAACAAATATATGTAGAAATATTTATATTTATTCATTTTTTTGTTGTAGGTTCTAGCGTTACGAAGAAAGGCTGAAAGTATTTCTATTTTAAATATACTTTTGTTTCTCGCAAATAGTTTTGTATTTTAGATATACTTTTGTACATCACAGATACTTTTGTAATTGAAATACATATGTATTTGTCTGTTGCAGATATATTCGAAATAAATCATTTAAATAAACTTTTGTACCTTCGCTACATTTTAATCTGAAAGATACATCACTATCTTTCAGATACTTTTATAAATCAGAGATATTAATGCAGTAATATCTGTTAATATCATTAGCAATATTTTCGCATGGAAGTGATTCAGCCAAGTGGCTGGAGCTTAAGTGGCTGCAAAAGCTCCAACGACTTGTTGGCTTGTGCATGACAGCTCAGACAACAGGACATTTCCTGCGAGAGCCACTCTGATGGACAGCTGATTGTTGACGGTGAACTGTCTGACGTTGTCTCCTGGGGATTCAGCTGCGTCGCCAAGAACGCGTTGTTCACATACTTGAATGCCCAGCGATCTGGATAAAGCAGAATGCAGATATTTATTTAATAATGAATATGTGAACATAAATCATTTACAAATGCGATTGAATTTGTTAGTACATTTGAAGGCTTTAAGCGATGCATCTTACTTGTGAGATATGGATTCTTAGATTACTACAAAGTCCTTGAAAGCAGCTCTCTGGACGAGGTACTTGCGACCACGTCCTTTGAAAATCTATAGGAACTTAGCCGAGTTAGGGCTAAGTTTGTAGAAAGGACATTTGCTTTCACAAGGTCAGAAAAAATGAGATAAATTAAAAAATCCGGAGTGTTTTTGCATTTTGAAGGACTATCCGAATGTTCTGTGGACCAGAGACAGCCGTTGGACGCAACGATGAAAGTCCTGCATGCAGCGGAAATAAAATAACTTTTCTTAAAACAGAAAATTGCTCATAGCTCGTTAAAGTCCATGCGTATCTTGACGAGTCTTATGTCAAACATATTGTTTTGATGAAGACAACAAATTAACCCAAGGACATTAACAGCGTTCCTTTAGCTCCCGAGAGAGCAAGGATTTTGTGAAATCGGCTCAGTTCCGTTCGCACTGCAGTGAAATTTGTAGAGGTGTGTGGGTTCTTAGATTGGACCCCATTTGATTGTGCTCTTTGGCAATTTAGCCAATGCACTTCAATGCAGCCATATCATTTCTGTTTAAGCTTCAAATAATAAAAATAGCGACAACAACTGGGCAGAGCAACTCGAACCGCACACCGAACTGAAAGCAACGAACATGTTCGACCTGCACATGTTCGAGCCGGCCACAGGCCACACTGGAAGCCTCGGCCATGGGGTGGCAACGCCACCCGAAGCAGCGACGCTGGCTGCGCTGCTAGCGTTTGCGTTGGCTTTGTTGGATGGCCCACACATGCGCCGGCCACATGTGTGCTAGTCTCGCAGTCGTTAGATTCCAATTCGAATTGAAGTTTCCGCCCCACCAATTGGGTGGCCAGTTCTGTTGGATTGGTCACTGCTGGTCGAGTTTAGTGAGCTGCCTTATGGGGGGGTCGAAGTGCTAGTCCAGCTGCTGGCGTTAACAAGACTTTTGGCGACCAATGGGGCTCCACTGGGCAGCAGCATCGCTCTCTCTCTCTCTCTCTGTCTCGCTCGCAACATGTGTGTACGTGTGTGTGTGTGAGTGACTATGTTGTTTGCATTTCGTGCGATGGCGACACCTAGCGGCTAACTACAAGCGCTGCAAAGTAGGCAATCATTTTTTAACGTTTTTTTTTTTTATAGATAACGTGTGATCGCCTGCAAAAACTCGTTGCTTACTTTCGTGCGTTGCCATAAATTTTATAGCACGCGATCGTGTGTGTTAATTGAAAAATGCATGTTTTGTTACAGTTTTTGCAATTTGTATGTATTTTTGTATTTTCGTATTTGTATTTTGTAACACAGACAACTATTTTTAATTAATAATTTACGCTTTGTATTTATTATTGTTTATGTTCAAAAAATTACACACACTTGAAAAATATTTGGTTTTTTTTTGTTTTTTTTTTTGTTTTGTTTTGTTTTTGAAATTTTTCTTATACATTTTTAGTTGCACATTTTCGCATTTGTTGTCGTTCGTTTTGCTTGTTAAGTATATTTTTTGTGCTTTGTTTGCGGTTTTCTTTCCTTATTAATTTTATTTAGTATAAAGTGGTTTGTTTTCCTTTTCTAATATCTATAATTAAATTTTCTAAATTTTTATGATAGTTTTTTGTTTGCTTGCTGGCTTTTTTCTCACTTTTCTTTTGCAGCTGCTATTTTTCAATTTTTATTTCAAATTCAAATTCTTGTTGCTTCGCTTGTCTTTGTTGCTGTTTAAATAAAAAAAAAAACTGAAATAAAATATAACAAAATAAGCAAAAATAAAAAGAAAGAATTTTGTTTGCAGTCTAAGTAAAACATAAATGTTGTATGATTTTCATAATATTTTCTTTTTTATTCAGTTTTCTGGATTTTAAATATGAACTATATATAAGTATATAGATGTATATATACTTTATATATACACATATATATATTTCTATATGTGTATATATAAATATATATGTCTTGTCTGAAACACAATGCATAGCTCTCACAGTTTTAAGAATTGCATTTTAAAAACCTTCGACACTGTTCTTATGCATGCTTTCTATTTCGCTCTCAATTTCTCTCGCTCTCGCTAATCTTTTTTAATAAATTATGCACGATAAACTTCATAGTTGGGCTTACGAATAAAAATTGCTTGTATTATTGCAGCAGCCACTGTGAGTGGTGAGGGGTGTGTTTTTGGGGTGGGTCTAATTGTGTATGTGTGTGTGCTGCAACAGTAGAAGCAATTTTCAACGCTTAATTTTCTTTGCGTGGTAAATTTGAAGCCAAAAGAAAACAAAAAAAAAAACACATACGAAGAAAGAAAAAAACCTAGTTTAAACTAATTATTTTTCCTCCTTAATTTTCGATATCGATTTGACTTTTGCTTGCCAAAAAAATTTGTACTAAAAACAATTATTAAATATTAATCAAAATGTTTTTTTTTTTCAATCAAATAACGAAAATCAACAGCAAAAACATTTATGCAAAAAAAAAAGTTAATTTTTTTCGATTTGCTTGTGTTCTCTCACTTTTCTCTATCCGAATCGCTCTTAACGCTCTTTTGTCTTTTTCATTCGCAAGAAAACAAATACGTACTTTAGTTCCTCAGTCTTCTAAATCTAGTTGTTTGTTGTTGTTGTCTCGGTTTTTTTTTTGTAATTTTTTATATAATTATTAATTGCTTGTGGCGTGAAGTTTTACGTACAAATTTCATTATTTTTCCATATATTTCTTAACGCATTTCTTTTCTTTTCTATTATTCGACTGCTTCTAAATTTGTTTCTCTTCAACTTTGTTTTTCTTGGATTTTTTTTTTTGTTTTCATTTCGTCAATTCTTAAACTAGTTGGTTAAAAAAAAGTTGTGTTTACATTTATAGATTTATTTATGTATGTACGTAAAAAATTTGATTATTTTCGGTTTTTTAAATTACATTTAATAATAGAATTATTTTCTATGCAAAAAATTTCTCGAAATTATATTAAAAAAAAAAATTATATATATATATATAATAATAATAATAATATAATAATTATAGTTAATAAGATTTTTATACAAGTGTTGCTCTTTAGTGCCTAGATATCTAGATTTACTAAAATGTACATCGATGTTTAACAAATACACGATCTTAAAACACACAAAAAAAAGTCATATATATATACATGTACATATATATATATATATATACTTTTTATGTATATGGGCATATATATATACATATATATAGTAAACTTTAGCGCAGATTTTTCCTTAAATATTTTGTGGCTCACGGGGAGCGCATGTCGTGTGGTTTTTCTTTTTATTTGTTTTCTTTTTCTTTTAGTTTTTTTTTTTGTTTTTGTTTTTTCAGATTTACGTTTAGTTGGTTTTTACTTTCTTCACATAGTTGCAGTAAATGTTTTTTTTTTAGTTTTTTGCTTAGTATTTTTGTGTTAGTTTTGCGTTTATACAAAGTCTTGCTTAATTGCTAAGAATACACTGGAAAATGTGTCACTGGCGCAGCTGCAGCCAAAAATTTGTAATTTCTAAAACTGTTCTCATTTTTGTTTTGAGTTTTTATAAATAATGTTTAAAAATTAAAAAAAAAAAAATTATATAAAATTGTGAAAAATTATATTATATAAATATATATATATATATATAAATGGTATATATATATATTATTATTATTTTCTTTTAGCAGATACACATAGTATATACGAATGAATACATATGTATAATAATTACAAAAAAGGCAAAAAAAATGCTTTAAAATTATATTACATAACGGTTATTGCTTTGGTATTAAATGCCTCTGGTCGTGTTTAAGTCGCCTGCAAAGGAGCAGCTAGGGGGCTGGGGGCGGGGCGTGGCAACAACTGCTAGACAAGCTTTTAGAAAGTTGCAGTCAGGACGGGGCAGGGTTGTGTCTGAGGGGCACGATAACTGCGCTAGATATACATATATATATACAAAGGGTGGCGCTGAGAGGGTAGCGGGTTGGGGGGTGGTTGGGGCAATACAACATCTTTAGAAGATGCGCGACATGAGACGACTGCGGCTGCTGGCCAACTGTGGATGATGGTGTGGATGCTGCTGCTGTTGTTGCTGCTGCTGTTGCTGCTGCTGCTGCTGCTGCTGCTGCTGTTGGTGATGATGATGGTGCGGATGCGATTGTGGGTGTACCGGTGGCAGCAGCACATGCGGATGTGGCTGCAGCACAAGTGGATGTGGATGCGGATGTGGGTGCGAATGTGGATGCGAATGCGAATGCGGAAGAGGACTGCTGCTCCAGCTGCTAAAAAGTCATGCCTCCTCCTTGAGCGAAATGGAGGAGTGCGCTGGCAGGCTGGAGGATGCATTCGAATCATTGTCGCCACTCACGCTGCCCGCCAGCGACAGATTGTGTCCGAATTGCGGCGGATAGCCGACAGCCACGCCCATTGCACACGGCGGCGATAGCTGCGATTGCGATGGCAACTGTTGCTGCTGTTGCTGTTGCTGCTGTTGCTGTTGCTGCTGCTGCTGCTGCTGTTGTGCCTGAGCAGCGGCCTGCAGCTGCTGTGCGGCAGCGGCGGCTTGGGCAGCGGCAACAGCATTGGCCGCATTTGCAGCAGCTGCTGCCGCCTTGCCCTGATTGACGACACACTTGCGCATGTGCTTCTCGAGGGTGGAGGGGACGCTGAAGGGCATGTCGCAGAAGCGACAGCGATACACATCCTTGCCGGTGCGTCCGTGCGTCTTCATGTGGCGCGTGAGCTTGGAGCTCTGGGCGCAGGCATAGGAGCACAGTTCACACTTGTATGGCTTCTCGCCGGTGTGGCTGCGACGATGCACCGTTAAATTGGAACAGTTCTTGAACACCTTGCCGCAGAACTCGCAGGTATCGTTGCGCTGCCGGCTCTCCTTCTTGAGCAGCGGTCCTTGCAGCAGCGAGTTCGCGCCGCCCAGACCCAACGGCTTCAGCTTGAGGTTCTCGAAGAGCGCCTCGTTGCGATGCAGGGCGGACATGCCCCACCAATCACCGCCATCGATCTTCATGCGCTTGGACAGCTCGAAGGGATTGGGAAACGGATTGAAGAGCGGCACCTGCGACGGCGCATCTTGCGGCTGTGGCTGGAACATATTGCAGTTCTTGGCGAATTCATCGCGCAGTCGCAACGCTGCCACTGGTAAACCGTTAAGCTTGTCACCCAGTGGCTGGTTGGAGGCGACGCCGCTACCAGCACCTGGATTGGCTGCACCGGCTGCCGAGCCACGATTGTTGTTGTCCACAACAGCGGCGGCGGCAGCAGCGGCAGCGGCCACAGCGGCTGCTTCCTTGCGTCCGGACTCCTGCAGCGCCTGCTTGTACGCCTCCGAATATTGGGCAATGTTGGATAGGCCGAACTTGTCCATCAGCTCACCCACCAGCGATGTGGCACCGGAGCTGGTCGTCTTGGGGCTTTGACTTTTGCCATCGATGCGATTGTTGACGCTCAGATCTTCGGCCTCGTAGTCAACATCATCGCAATCGTCTAGCTCATCCTCGTCATCCTCTTCGCCATCGGCATCCGCGTCGGCATCCTCGTCGTTCAGCTCTTCGTCGGATTCATCGGGATTGGGATCGTCATCGTTGTCCGCCTCATTCGTTTCCAGCGAATCGGCATTGCTGCCGCCATCGTGACCATCCTGATTATCGCCGCCATCGTGTCCATGATCGGCTGGACTGCGATGCACCCGCATATGCTTCATTAGCTTCTGTATGTGCGAGCACTCAAAGTCGCAGGCGGTGCACTTATACGGCTTCTCACCGGTATGCGTCCGCTGATGGATAATCAAGTTGTTCTCATAGCGGAACTTCTTGTCGCAGTAGCCACACGAATAGCAACTCGACTCCAGCTCGGATTCCCGTTCGGTGTCTGGCTTGGTGGGCGTGGGCGTGCTGGCGGAATGGGGCGTCGATGTTAGCTGACCATTCTCGATACCTTTCTCTGGGGGTGTTGTTGCGGCGGCAACCGAAAGCGAGGCAGAGCTGGGCGAGGGGCTCGCAAAGCGCGGCGATTGCTTCTGTCGTGGACTCGGCGAGCTCGAGTTAACAATGTTGCCAGCTCCAGGGCTTGTTGTGCCCGCAAGCTGACGCAATCGCTGCGAGTAAAAATCCATCTGCTGCGGTTCCAAATTTAAACTAGCAGCTGGACTCAGTGCAGCTGCAGCAGCAGCCGCCGCTGCGGCCACTTGTTGCTGCTGCTGTTGTTGCTGTTGCTGTTGTTGCTGCTGTTGCTGCTGTTGTTGCTGCTGCTGTTGCTGTTGCTGTTGTTGTTGCTGCTGTTGCTGCTGTGAGCTCAGTGACGGAGGTGGTAGTGCAGCGGGCGGTACTGAGCCACGCTGGCTGCTATTGCTCGATGGCGGTCGCTGCTCGACGGGATTAGGAACATTGACAGCAATGGGCTGAGCAGGTTGCTGCTGTTGCTGCTGCTGTTGTTGCTGTTGCTGTGTATTGGCATTGAATTGCGCCTGGGCGGCGGCAGCGGCGGCGGCCAGACTGAAGCCATGGTGCCGGAACTGCTCGCTAACCAGCTGCTCCATGCGATAGTGATCGGCGGGCGTGGGGCGGCCAAACAGCGGCGACACGCTAGGAACTACATTGCTCTGCGACAGCGCGGGTGGCAGTGGCATGCGCAGCAGCTGGAAGGGGTTCGCGTGCAACGAATCTGGTGGCGCCAGCAGCGCATGATGACGCATGCCTGCTGCCAGCGCTAGACTCTGTTGCTGTTGCTGCTGTTGCTGCTGCTGCTGCTGTTGTTGCTGCTGCTGCTGCTGCTGCTGTTGCTGTTGTACACGCTGCTGCAACAGTTGCTGTGTGGGTGAATTGGCGCTGTTGCTACTGCTGCTCACATTACTGCTGCTGTTGCTGCTCGTATTGGCCGAGCCTGCAGAAATTGCGGCTGCTGCTGCTGCTGCTGCTACGGCGGCGGCGCTGCTGTTGCTGGTGCTGCGCTTTGGCGCTGGAGACTGCGCCATGAGCGCGTGCAGCGGCAGCGGCAGAGAGACGCTACCAACAGTTGCTGCTGCGGGACTGAGACTACGATTTGGACTGACGCTGACGCTGGTGGCTTGTGCTGCTGCTGCTGTTGCCGCCGCATTAAGAGCGGCGGGTGTGGCCACAGTCAAGGTGGCGCCACAGCCACCCGTCTCCACGTAGATCTTGACGCCGTGCGAGTGCTGCACGTGCTGGATGAGGCGCCACGCGGATGTGTAGCGGGTCTTGCACGTCGAACATGTGTAATTGCTGGGTTCTGCAACGATAGAGAGCGGGGAGGGTAGGGGTACATGTTTAGTCATGTTTGTCAGTCAAATATGTGAAATGATGGCAGGAAATGAGGCTGCCAGCAATTTTCTAGATTAATTATTAATAAATATGCGGTAAATGAAATGCAAAAGAGACGCGACGGATGATGTGCGCGACGTGTGGCTTTCGAGGGGGATACTGCAACGTTTTTGGACGGCGGTGAATTTATATATTTATTGATTTTGTGTACGGCAGAAGCACACACACGCACACATACTCACACACACAGCCAGAGAACAGGCGTGTGCTGTTGCGGGCGTGCATTGCATACAAATGGGCGCGCACAGCAGCAACATCGGCAACAACAGCAGCAACAGCAACAGCAACATCACCAGCAACAGCAGCAGCAGGTGCCCCAAACAGGCAGCAGGATATTGCCAATACACACACATAAATATCCAAGACACACACACACACACACTGTGCCGTAATAGTTTTTTATTTTATGTTGCTTGCGGTTTGTCGCGACGTTTGTTAATTTGCCACGGAAACCGAAAACCGAAACACAAAAAGCGTAAACCACAACCAACCGACAACCACCCGATGCCACCCACATGTCCTGCGGCGGAAATTACAAGCGAGCACACATGTGTCCATAACTATCGATGAGATTGGGCGGGGGCGGAGAAGGGCGATTTAAGGGACAACGCAGCAACAGATGCGAAGTTTAAAATGAAAAATGTGAAAATGTGAAAATTGGCTACGGCAACAAAATAATAAAAAAAAAACTGACAAAAAAAGATGAAGTATAATAAAAAAATATGTGATAAAAGACGAAAGCAAAAAGCACTAACAAAGCTCAACGACTCGAGCATACACTATATATATATACAGTGGCTTACAGTTCATTTCGGGCAGTGTCTAGCAAAAATTTTAAAGTGCTATAAAGTTTAAACAAAGAAACAAACGCAAAATGTTTAAATGCCAATTTGTTTTATGTTATATCACGTTTGAAAAGGAAGCTTCAGTTTTTATTAAAATATTAATTAATTAACTAAAATTAGTCAAAACTTAAAACATATCCAAAATACATGTTACAGTTTTTTTGGAACAGTCTTGGAAAAGTAACATATTAGGCGTATAAAAACTTAAATAAGGATGTTAATACTTAGTATGATATCCTTTAGCCTTAATAACTCCCCTTAACCTATTATTCATGGAAGATACCGCTTCGGGTCGTTTTGGACTGATTTTGCTCCACTCATCGGAGCATTTTTGAGATCGGATCTGTGATTCCTGATGTTATTTTCCAGCGAGCCCACAATTTTAAATAACATTTAAGTCTGGAGACTGGGCCTGTGGAATTATCGTGTGGGGGCGTTCCGATATGCCAGGACTGTACTAATCCGGACTTATGCTTGGCTTTTGTCTGGTGTTGTGTGGTGACCGAAGTACGTCGGATTCCTGCTTCTGGACTTTGGAGTAAATTTTCCTTGAATATATTGAAATACACACTCTTGTCCATTGTTGTTTCAAAAACCAATTTCCCGCCGGCTTCCGAGATACATGCCCATACCATGACACTCCTCCGTCGTGTTGCTGTTGCCTTTGATTTTGGGATTCGCTGTATCGGACTGTCGCATAGTCCGTCCGTCTGGCAAAATGTTGAATTTGGGCTTTTAATATGAATTTGTTCCGACCCAATCCTTGTAGTGGGTTTTGCATGCCATCCTAGTCCCTTTATTTTTGGGCTTATAAGGGCTTATTCGTGGTCTTGGGCATTAAGTCTGGTTGGCGAACCCGGGCACTTTTGTTTTTTTCTCCTGCACCTGTTGGTGTTTTGGGCCATAGCTTGGGATTTTCCTTATTTTCCTGATGATCCTCCGCCCTGTTGGTGAATCTTGTTTGGTGCATTGCTTGTTTTATTTTGTACGAGAGTCGAATGATGTTGAATACAGTTGTGGTGCTTGATTTATTTTAGTATTTGGCGATGTGAATATCATCTGGAGTGTTCCGGATGGATTCCGTTGCTCATGGTAGTCCGTGTCCATAGTCTTGTTGGCTGGTGGCCCGGATGCAGGTTACTAACTGACTCAAGGATTGGTTATTTATTCCAAAATAATCATCCCGGCGTAAAATCCGGGTTTTATGGAGGTGTCCTAATGCCACTGCCCGAATAATATGTACTATTGTCTTTTTTCCGGCCTCGAAACCCATTTAGGGGGGATAATATTTTTTTGGGGGGTAAAAAAAAAACCCCCCCCCTTTTTTATTTTTTTAAAAAAAAAATAAAATTTTTTTTAAAAAGAAAAAAAAAATATATTAACCATATATATATATATATATCTACCTAATATACAATAGAGACCCCTTAGTAAATTGCAATCATATTTGTTATGTTTGCAACTTGATATTAAATATTTTCTTCTAGGCAATTATTATATTGTTGTTGAGTTACTGGAGACAGTCGATGCCAACTGGTTGGCTATATATAAGCATCCTGTCTATGCTAGAGTATTAACACGTAGAGCCATAGACCGAAGCAGACGGGGTCCAGGCGCTAATCGAAGCGAACGAATGGTAGAGCTGTTGTTGCTGTTGTTGTTGCTGTTGCACAGGTCAACATATGTCACCACTGGCGCTGGCCATCCGGGCAACAAGGTGTTAATGCTTAACTATTACAAGCGAACTACCCCCAGCAACTACAACAAGAATGGCAACAACAACAACAACAACAAAAACTAAGAAGTTGCGCCACGCACTTTGCATTTAAATGACGCTTTAAAAAAAAGGCAAAAAGATGAAAATGAAAATAAAAAGTGAAATGAAAATGTGTTTGGCGTTGAGCAAGGGGAAAAGGAAGAGGACAGTTGAGGAAAACGCATGTCGCGCACGAGTCCATAAGGATGAGCATTAGATACACACTCACACACACACACACACACACACACACACACACCTATCAAATAACTACACTTTTGCTTTTCTTTTGTTTACTTTTTTGTATATTTTTCCACTTTTTTTTTTTTATGTTTGGGTGTTTTTTTATGACGTTCCGCGCGGCTGCAGCAGCAGCAGCAGCAGCAGCTTCTTCACTTTTGCCGGGCTTCCTGTCAAAGGTGAGAGTGTGCTGAACATGATTTGGCCACGAACCCTGGCGGCAAGGATAACAATGCTGATCAGGGGAAATCCTTGGCCATGCGGGCAGCAGGAAATGCAAATGAATCTGACAGATACATAATTTGTTTTCGAAAAGGGTTAGGGGCTCTTTAGTGCTTTAGAGGTTAAGGGTTGCTAAGGGGTTAACACGTCTGTTGTCGCGTCTGCTGCTGCTACTGCTGCTGCTGCTGCTGCTACTGATCATGATCACGATCGTTATCATCACATCATGATTGTCATAAAAAACGAGGCAAAAGTTGTCGAAAAACGTGCGGCATTTGCGCAAGCAGCGCGTACCTCGAGGATCCTCTTTAATTTCATTTGAATTTACTCTTCATTTTTTTATTGTTGTTGTTTGTGTTTTGAGTTAGACGCGCGTTGCGCACGCGCCAAGCGCGCATCCTTTATATCCTCTTTGTGTGTTCTCTAACTGCTGTCTCTGTTTTCTGTCTGTCTGTCTGGTTGTCTGTCTGGTTGTATGTCTGGTTGTGTCCTGGGCATGGCACGTTCTGATTTTGGCAGCTCTTTCAGCTGCTCATGCTCGCACATGCTGGCATTGTCCTTGCGGGAGTCAGGACACCAGAGCACAAGCTCCAAGCTGAGTCGCAATCTCAAGTGACCCGAGTGACTGCATTCAAAGCAGCTCAGACGGAAGTGAGCAAAACACAAAAAAACAAGACAAATAATAAAAATAAGAACTGAGACTCGACAGAGGTCTGGGGCCAGGAAATGGCAAATTGACCGCCTGCTGCAAAAGTGGAGCCAGGAAGTGCGCCAGGACAACGACGCGTATGAGCATTGCATAGAAAAGACTAAGACTCTAAAGAGTGGGGTCAGCGGGTGGGCAACAGCGGCAGCAGCAACAGCGGCAGCAGCAGCAGCGGCAACAAAAAAGAAAGGGTTGCACAGTAATGGGATAATTGTTGCAGCTTTTTGCCGCATGTTGCCAACGCAGCAGCCAACATTATGTTGTCGAGTGTCCTGCGGGCTCCTGCGGTGATTTGCATGGCCCGACCTTTGCCTAAGCCTTTCGCTCTGTGTCCTTTTTTTTTTTTGCCTCCTTTTTTGTTAGCTGCCACTTTTTTTCTTGCTGTTCACAAAGCAAGGCGCGCGTAATCCTTTTTGTGGGTGGGCGTGAAATTGCATGAGCCGAGCGCATTAGCCATTGATTTCGATATTGAAATGGTAGCCAGGTGGTGCGGTTTTGGGTGGTTGGGTGGTCAGTTGGGTGGTGCGCGTTGTGTTGGGCGCTGTCTTTCTTCTCTCTCGTCTCTAAAGGGCGGTCGGGGAGGGGAAGCGGGGAGGGGCGACACTAATGCCTGGCTTAGTGCCAGCATGAGTCAATAATTGAATGTGAGTGCGGTGAATGAATACTGTATGGGCCAAAATGGATAAAATGGGTTCAAGTCCTGTTGTCCTTTTGCTGACCTCAGACCTCCGACCTCCAACCTCAAGCCTTCCTTTGCCCCCATATTCAACCTCCAGACTCCTGATGGTTTTTCATTGTTGCTGCGGTCGCGACACGCTGCGCATTTGAAAGTGCGCCAGTAAATTGATAATTAACATGAAACACACACACACACAGACAGACAGACAGACAGTCAGGTAGTCAGGTAGTCACACACGCTGACAGACAACAGCGAAAAAAGGCAAGTTGAAAATGCAAGCAAAAAACAAAAAATGTTCGTGTCATCGCAACAAATATTTCCATTTTCCCCATTTTGTTGACAGTTATTCACAGGGCAAAAGTGGGGGTGGGGGCAGGGGGCAGGGGGCGGGAGATTTGTGGCAGCCATGGCAGCCGTTGCTCCATATTTATAATTACCAAATGGACAACAATTGGATGCGAGGACAGCAAACAACAGCCAACAGCAGCCAACAGCAGCTTTCAAATGCAAAAAAAAAAGAGAAAGAGCAAAAAGAAAAAAAAAAAAAAAAAGGAAAAAAACACGGCAAAAAGAATGAAAATAAAACAATGCGTAATTAACGTGACAGATACAGATACAAATGTATCTGCAGGGCACACATATCTGCATCCGTATCTGTATTAGTATCTGTATCTACACATATCTATGGCTGCTGCGTTGAAGAGTTGACAGTTTTGCATTGTTAAGAGTCAAACAACTTTGTTGTCAGTGACTTGTTGTTGTTGCTGTTAAAGCATGTTGTTTTGCATGCTCGTGTCAAAAGCTGCAAAGTTCAAGGGTTAAATTGCGACAATGTATGTGAGTGTGTGTCTCTCAAGCAGATCTGTGAAATCAGACAGCAACAGCATTCAAAACAAATGACAAGCATGCGTCAAGCTTTGATTGACTGACTGAGTGAGTGCAGCAAGTGAAATATGTTGAGCTACATAAAACATGCAAAGCAACGTTTTTTATTTCAATTATTTCTTTATTCCTTTAAATATGAGTGGATTCATGCGTGTTTCTTGCACTTTTCAATGAGTATATTCACTATTGCTTATGAGTGCACCTCACAGGTTAGAATGCTAGCAAACTAGCCAGCAAACAGAATTCAATCTCGTCCAGTCCAGTCATGAGTGTTTAGTGGTGGTGCCATTCACAAAATGCAAATGAAACAAGTTGCTGTCAGAAGTCACACTCAGAGTGAGTGTTGAGTGCCCGCTGTGTTCACTTCAGTCAATCAGTCACTCAATCGGCTTTTGGTTAACTCAAACTCGAACTCGAACTCGAACACGAACTTGATCGCCGCCTGTCAATTGCTCGATGATTTGCCGTCAATAGCTGGCACGCGTTTCAGCTCACCACGAACCTTGACCCCTTTGACCAGCTTGCTGGTCACGTGGCAGCAATGCGTTGGTCAAGTCACCAGCAACAACAACCACAACAACCAAACTGACCGCCTCAATCGTTTGCACAAGAAAATCGCTAAGCGTTAAACCCCTCAACTCGTTTCGTTTACCTTCGTCTTGGCGTTCTCTGCTTTGTGCGTGTGTCAAGTCCAGTTTCAGTTCGCATTCACATTCACATTCACATTCATATTCAGGTTCAAGCTTGCTGCGTCCTTTGTCCACTCAAGTGGTTTCTTCTGCTCTCTACCCTCGACCCTCGACCCGCTCTATCGCTCACATTCCTTTGCTTCCTCTTCAAAATTAACCCCTAAGGGCAGCTCGACTTCTGTTTGCAGCTACAGATTCAGATTCAGCTTTTGCTGCTGCTGCTTCTGCTGCTTTGTTCCGTTGTCCTGCTGGCCTTACCCTTTCCCTTTCCCGCTGCTTCCTTGCCATTGTTTTTATTGCTGTCTTTTGGCTTTGGCTTTTCATCAGCCTCATCATCGTTCGCATTTGCATTGAAAAATGTCACAAGTCAAAGGATAGCAGCAACCGCCGCGTAACAATCAAAGCTCGTATCCCTTCCCTACCATCCAGCTGCTGCCCCTACCCCACACTCCTTACACTCATGCACCCCTCCCGCTGCCACTGCTGTTGTCCGAGTGTCCTTTTTGGTCGTGCTGCACTTCAGTTTTATCAGCAGTCGCGCTTTGATGTCGCCCACGTTCCACATTTTCTCTATGCTTTTTCATTTTTTTTTGTCTTTTTTTTTTTTTTGCAGCGGCAGCATAAACAAAACGTTTTACAGCGCAATTGGTCAGATATTGGGCGTGTGGATGTGGGTGGCTTCCAAAGGGGAGGCGGGGATTAAGGTTGAGAATGTGTGTGTGTGTTTTTTAAATGCAGCCGCAGCTGCAGCTTATCGCGCGTTCAGCAGCCCCGCGGCCCGATCAGCGCCGACTTATGAACGGCCGGGAGTGCATGTCCTTTGACAAACTCACACACACACATATATATATATAAACTCTCATCTATACACACTGACACACGCACATCAAACACATTTTTTAGCGCAATTTTGAGTGTCTCGTTTGATGTTTGGCTTTTCACTCATTTTATTCCATTTCATTTCATTTCATTTTTTCTTGCGGGCGCTGGTCATTTTTGTGTCGCGGATGGTTTGGGGCTGATTTTAATTTTGATTACGCGAAAATATGCGACAACAAACAACACAAAATACCGCTTTGAGTCTTTGGGTCTTTGGGTCTTTGAGCCTCACCTGTGTGCACTGTATTCGCTTCGGCATCGACGAGCTCCATTTTGGGCCGCTTGGCCAGCGGCTGTTGGCACTCGTCTCTGTCAGTCGCCTGTGTCAGCAGTTGCGCATTCAGTTCCCGCTCCCGCTCCCGCTCCTGCTCCTGCTCTCTAACCCGCTCCTGTTCCTGCTCTTGTTCTGGAGCCTGCTCCAGCTCCAGTTCCTCGTCGAGCTGCTCGTCGTCGGCATAGGGCTCCTGCTTGACCTTTGGCTTGTCATCGTGCAGAGCACACTCGTCGCGACCAATCAGTTGCCCCTGCGCCAACTGAGCGCGAGGACTGTGAGCGATGCTCGACTCCAGTCCCGCTGCGCCGGTGGCGGTGGTCAGCGCATCGCTGTCCGCTTTGGGCGTCGTATTGTCGTTCTCTGTCAAGGGGAGGGGGAAAAGATGGTTATAAAGAATACTCGCATCAATTTGTTATGGTTAAACTTACCATCGACGAGGCGCTTGGGAGTGCTGCTGGCGCCATCGGCGAGCAGATCCGCTGGACTCGGCGGCGGTGTGTGTATGCGTGAGCCGCTTGCAGCGCTGCTTGCAACAGCGGCTGCGGCAGCCGCTGCTGTCGCCGCCGCCGCAGCGGCAGCAGTGGCAGCAGCCGCACTTGCAATTGCATTGGCTGCAACTGTGGGGCCACTGCCGGCAACTGGCGCCGATTTGCGGCCTGTGATTGGCGCCGAAATTGAGGGACGGCGATTGACCAGACTCAGGGGTCGACCCTCGTCGGCATCGCGATCCATGCTGGGCGCCTGTGTGGTACACTGACCATAGTTCTCCTTGTTGCACTGCAGCACCTTGTGCTGAATGAAGCGGACAATGTCCGACAGTGCGAAGGTCTTCTGGCAGGCGCCACACGTGAGGATGTCCTGCGCGGCAACCGCATCGTTCTCTGTCGAGTCGGAATCTGCAATGTGTGAACGGTTTTGATTAGTAACTGGGGCACCACTTGCACAGCGCGAACGCATTGAGAGTCGCTAGCCACCCACGAAACCCGAAAAAACCCCATTCCAAGCCACCAATCGGTGACTGGTGGCACTTTTGCACTTGCAGTTCATAAATTTGCTCGACAGTTGTCGCTTTTATGGGTGTCGATTGTTGGCCATCAATTCTGGCTTAATGCGCCGCCAAGTTAACCACATGAACTCCATTGGCTGGTTTGCCTAATTTACTTCTGTTTCTGACTATTGACTACTGTTTGCTTGTGTTGCTGCTGCTGCTGCTTTTGTTGTTATTATTATTTTTATTTTGTTTGTCACTTTTATGGCAGCAATTGGCGACTGACAGCCATGAATAATTTTGTGGCAAGCAATGTGGCTGCACCGAAAACTAACCCAAGGCGACAGTTATAAGAGAGAGAGAGAGACAGAGAGAGAGAGAATGACTTATCGATAAATATCGATTTATTGATAGTTGATTTTTAAAGACATTCAACTTGTTACTTGCCACAAATAACTCGGTGGTCAGCAGTAACGAAGTCTAAGTGTAACAAAAGAGTTTTGAGAAAAGCGTTAGTTATTGGCTGCCTATCGATAAGTTTATCGATTAGCTAGTCACAGATTTTTTAATTTGCCACGCCAAAAATTAGTTGGCATTCGGTGTGGCATTCATTAAGCGAGCTTAACTAAATAGCCAAACACACACACACACACACACACACATATGCACACAGGCACATATACTTATAGAGATGTGTCACAATTGATTTGCAACAACAATTTACGCCTGGCAATTTCATTGTGCGCTGGGCTTTTACGGCTGGGGCGACAAACGGCTAGAAGAATAGACGACAGACAGGCAGACAGACCGACAGGCAGACAGACAGACAGACAGCACCCATGACCAAATGGCAGCTATGACAACCCCACACCCGACACCCCCACCAGCCGCCCAGCCGCACAGCCACTTACCACACTCCCATTCGAGCAGGCAGCAGTCTTCTGCCTAGTTTGCTCGCTCACACAGCAATTCACTTATTTACATATGAGCACAGCTCTGGGCGTTGATAAGAGAGGGCGTATGTGGCGCGGCGCGGCAAGGGGATGGGATCGTATGGGTTGGGGTGGGATGGTGTGGTGTGGTGTGGGTTGGGTTGGGGTTGGGGTGAGGTCGTTGTATAGTCCGCGGATCGATTCGCTTGCACTTTAATTTATGTATTTGCGCGCGCCCAAATAACCAAAGCAACAGCAACAGCAACAACAACAGGAACTTCACCCCGCTTAAACCACATAGCAGTGAGTGTAATCTAAGCCCACACCAACGATCCCAACCACTGAACTATTTGCATGTGTGTATGTGTGTGTGGATAAAAATGTGAACATAAATTCCAGTAGCACTGCGAATAAAATACCAAAAATTTGCGAGCGCCTGCAATTAATTCGAGTCGCAATGAACTCGCAAAAATCGTTGGCAATTGATTCTTATCCTTGTTGCTGTTGTTGCTGTACAACAGAGGGAAGCAGCAACCACACTTGCCCCTGGGGCTATGCAACTTTTGGCAATTTATCGATGAATTTTGATTGACCAAGAAACCAGCAAAGCACCCACCGAAAAAGGGCCGAAAAGCACAAATGAATGCGAAACATCGTCACAACAAAAATAATATAAATAAGAATAAGAATAAGAATAAGGACAAGAAGCAGCCGTAAATTAGCCGCCAGGCACGCATACGCACAGAGGGAAATTCTAGGTTCGCAAAAGTTGATTGAAATGTTGTCGAACAATTGCCAAAGTTTCTCTTTGTGTTTGTTTGCGGGTTTTCCCTTTTTTTTTGTTTTTGTTTTGGAATTGTCCCCCACATTGGTCAATCAAAAGTGACCAATTTAAGAGTTGCATGTGATTTGGTTACCAACTTCTTTTTCTATTATATAAAAATAAAGTTTTTCAATTTCAGTTCTGTTTTGTCTTATTATTTTTTTTATTCATTTTAAGATACGAGTTTTCATTAAACATCAACTTTTTTGTATTATTTTAAATATGTTCTTTTATTATTTTGATCTTACTCCACTTTAATAACTAAGCTGTGTTGACCTTTAAGCTAATTGCTCATCTTTTATTGTTAGCTGCAACATCCACTCATATCACATATCCTCCACACACACACACACACATCACTCCCTGCCACCCTTGGTCTGACTTTGTCAATTAGCTGTCGCAACAACCATAAAAAAAAGGCAGAAAGAAAAAAATGTTTATTGACGCGCTGTCGGTTGCCACTTGTTAAGTTTGTTGCTGCTGCTGCTGCTGTTTGGGCAGTTTCAACAATTTGCGGTTGCCCACACACACTCACACACACACACACACACATACATGGACACATACAACAACTAATGCGCCCCGAAGCGTTGCTCAACTTTTTTTGGGCCACGTCCTTTGTCCGTTTTTTTTTTTTGCCCACCCACTCCGCACGTCCGTCCGCCCGCTCGTTTGCTGTGTTTTCTTTCTTTTTTTATCAATTGATTGTCCTGCGACGGGGTGACAACAAGGTCCTCCCAGTCACACACACACACACACACACACATGCTCAAATTTATCTCATATTATTACAGATATATTTTCTTTTTTTTTGGGTAATTTTTTGATTGTTTGGGCGGGCAACGGACTTGCTGCTCGCTGCTCGCTTCTCGTTTCTCGCTTCGTTTTGGTTTCTGTTTCTGTTTCAATAACAATAAAATAAAAAATATGTTTTCGCTTTTTTTTTGCCGTTCGCTTATCGCTCTACCCCCGTCTCAACTCTCCCCGTTGCCCTATTGACTTTTGGCTTTTTTCCTCATTTTTTGTCGCTTTTTTTCGGTGTGTGTGGCTGTGTTTATTGTTGGCGGGTATTTTATTTATTGATTGGCGATCATTGGCGTGAAATCGACGCAGGACGCAATTAGCCGCCTGTCTGACTCCATGAATTAAACATGTGTTGTTGCTAGTTGCCAGTTGCCAGTTGTTGCTGTTGCTGTTGGCCGCTGCCAGTTGTTGCCAGTTATCGCCAGTCGTTGTTGTTCTTGTTGTAGTAGCTGCTGCTGTGCGATTGGCCAGTGGACAGTTAGCGGCCAGGTAAAGCTGACTTTTTACCTGCTTGCTTGGCTGCTTGGCTGCTTGCCTGCCTTTATTTTGGTAGGCGTTGCCCCGCAACAAATTGTGGTCGAATGAGTGTAGGAGTATGAGCGACAGAGAGAGTGTGTGAGAGAGAGAGTGAGAGGGAGAGCGATTGAGAGTGAGAGTGAGAGTGAAGGCTAGGGATTGAGGAGGCGGGGGCGTAACCAGCTTATTTGACTAACCGATTAGATTAGATGTGTATGTGTATGCGTGTGTGTGTGTGTGTTTGTTTATTTGTTTCTCTGTGTGTGTGTGTAGATAGAGAGATTAGCGTATATGCCTGGCAAAAACTAAGTAAATATAAATAATATACAAAAACTTATTGACAGCTCCAAAAAGTCTGCTGCAATATTGCGCGCAAAATAGCGAAAACATGAGAGAGAGCGAGAGGGTTGCACCAGAAGCAGCAGGCAGCAAGTCAGAGACAGGTGTAGGTGGGGGGTGGGGGGGAGTGCAAGGGCGGGGGTGAGCTAAGCAGCGACAGCAGCTGCTGGCCAAAAGGTGTATTGAAAGGGTGTTCAAAGTGCCCGAAACTGTCAAATGTCAGACAGACGCTGACAGTCGCCTGACAAGTGTCAACAGAAGGTAGCTCCCTCGGTCTCCCTCCTTATCTGCCTGCCTGCCTGCTTGCCTGTGTGTGTGTGTGTGTGTGTGTCTGACTGTGTGTGTGTGCAAGTTCACGTGTATTTGGCGAATATTTCATAAAGTCAGCTCATAAATTGAATTATCTCCGCAAAAGGGCAAAAAGGACACACAGCACACACATACACCCACAGACAAAGAGTTCACACACACACACATACACACGCACACACACGCAGAGAAGCGCAGTCAACAATTTAAGCAGCCAGAACCAATGCGCTAACAGTTCACTCAACTGCCCCACACTCCCCTCCCCTGCCATCGATGTAACCCTTTTGACCAGCTGCGTTGACAGGCCAAAAAATATTGAACAAAATCGGTAGGATGGAAAAGCGATTGCTAAATTCACCGAAAATTCGCTAAAATTTGATCAAAAATATTTGTGATGTCATCGCATAGGCATAATTAATTCAACTTCTCCGACATCCCCAGCCAACCGCTGTTCACTCCGTCCCCCGCGCCATTCCCTCAATATTCGTCCTTTGGCAGACCATATAAATAAATTGAAGTGCGTCGATTTGTAAACCGCGCAGCTTAAGATTTATTTACGAGCTGCGTTTGCCTCCCGGCCAAAGAAATAAGAAAAACTATCCTGCGGCTATTAATATGCGCCTAATGTCTATGTCTACGTTAAGTATGTGTGTGTCTATGTGTCTATGTGTGTGTGTGTGTGTTGGTGTGTGCGATGGCAAAGTAGGACAATTAAGAATTAACATATTAATAGGACTTTTGCGCAAATTATCAAGACGCACAAATATGAAATTCAAGTAGGCGGCTGCAGATACAGCCACAGATACATCTACTGCTGTGTGTGTGTGAGTGTGTTGTCTGCTTAGCTCGTATTTTTGTTATTTATAACATTTTCATGTTATTGACTGCACGTTGCGACAACTGCCACCACCCTCCCCAACCACTCAACCACTATTTCAGCGGCTTCTGCTGGCTTTAACCCCCCCAGTTGCTGCTGCTGCTGCTGCTGCTTCTGATGCTGTTGGAGGCGTGGCACAGCCACAGAAAACAATACGTTGATTGTGCTAATTTATGCCCCCACCACACACACACACACACACATACACTCCCTCGCACACCCACACACACACACACACACACATAAATACATATGAGCAAAGGACGCGCTTTATGGCCAAAAAGGTTATGGGCCAGTCGAGCTGGCTG